GAGCGGGGGGCGGGGAGGGGGGATCCAGGGGGGGGGGGGGGAGGGGGGGGGGGGAGGGGGTGACTGAGGGGGGAGGAAGAGAGAAGCGGGGAAGAGGGGGAGGTTGTCCCACCCTGTACAGGCACTGGGTTGCTATCTGCATGAACCCCTGAAAGCCTTGGGTAGGTGAGTGAGTGAGCAAGCAATCGAGCTTGACTCTCCCCCTACCCTCTCCCCCGCCCGGCCTCTCCCTTTGTCCTCTCCCCCGCCCGGCCTCTCCCCGTGCCCTCTCCCCCGCCCGGCCCCTCCCCGTGCCCTCTCCCCGCGCCCTCTCACCCTGCAGCCGGTTAATGAGCCACATGAGCTGTTTCTTAGAGATACTGGTCCAGCTGAGGTCCAGGGTAATGGGTTGCCTCCTGATAATCCCACTCAGCATGGCTGGTGTGATCGATTTCTGTCTGCTCAGGTCAATCTTGGTCCATAATTGTTTATCACAGCACCTGGAGCATGGGGCGAGACGCCAAGGGAGAGAAAGGCAGAGGGAGGAGGGAGGAGTGAGGAGTGAGAGAGGGAGGGTTTTGGGCAGGGAGAGGGAAGGAAGGGGAGGGGGGGGGAGAGAGAGAGGGAGGGGGAGAGAGAGAGAGAGAGACAGACAGACAGAGACAGATACACAGAGAGAGAGAGACTGCCATCAGAATGGAGAAACGCCCTGTCCCACAACATCCTACAATACTGACTAAAAACTAATAACAACTCAGGTCCCCACCCACATATACCAGAGTAACCAGCGAGTGAGCGGGGTAGAGGGTGGAGGGTGCAGATGGAGATGCAAAGGCCCCTACTCGTCCAAATGGCCAAACAGCTTTCTTCAGTTTTGAAGTGGGCCCATGGATATTGGCAAAGCTGGGTGGTTGATCAGGCACAGGCAGGAACCCAGTCCCAGTGTGGCCTGACCCTAGACAGGAGTGGCAGAGATCTCAATCGTCGTGGTCCCCATGACGAGTACTGTGCACAGTTCCTGTCTCTGTATCCGTCAGTCAGACCCACGCTGGGAGCACCGTGCACAGTCCCTGTCTCTATATCCCTCAGTCAGACCCACACTGGGAGCACCGCGCACAGTCCCTGTCTCCGTATCCCTCAGTCAGACCCACACTGGGAGCACCGCGCACAGTTCCTGTCTCCATATCCCTCAGTCAGACCCACACTGGGAGCACCGTGCACAGTTCCTGTCTCCGTATCCCTCAGTCAGACCCACACTGGGAGCACCGTGCACAGTCCCTGTCTCTGTATCCCTCAGTCAGACCCACACTGGGAGCACCGTGCACAGTTCCTGT